TTATGTTCCTTACTCCTGAATAATGGGGGGCGTGTTTAATTTTTCAGCATCTGAAAATAGTATTTTACTGAAAACTAATGCTGAGACAACCTTAAAACTTTCCATGGTGCTCTGGTATCACCAGTTGCTATCAAAGAAACTGTGGTCTAGCTTGGTAATATTTAACAGCAGCTTTTCAGTAGCTAAGATGAGGAAGTAGTGTGATGAAGTTGTAAAGATAACCTAAGTACTTAGATATGAGTAAAACTTGTATTTACTACTCTCTTTTCAGCAATGATGTAGACATGGAAACAGATCACTACTCCAATGGGGTTGCTGAGACTTCATCCAATGGCTTCCTAAATGGTAGTTCTAAACATGATCACGAAATGGAAGAATGTGACACAGAAATGGGTCTGCAGTGATATTTCTTACATTTTTATTAAGTGATGGCAACAAGGTTATGTTTTTACTTGCAATGCTTCCCAAGTTGAAAAATAGGGTTACTAGCTCAAATCTTAATTTTTTGATTGTTTGTTTTGCTGTTGATGTAAATTTTAAAACCACTGATTTGGGTGGTCCAATATCAGTGTGAGAACAGGGGAAATGGGTGACTCATGGCTACTGAAATTAGCATTAATTTCTAAGGAAGTACCTTTGAGAAAAAACACCCAGTTGTGTAGCACCCTGTGTTTGAGTTGGGAAATTATTTTTCCTCTTTCCGTTCATGGTTCTCATGGCATCTTTGTCCTCCACAGTAAGTGTAGAAATTCTAAATCTTTTATATTGAATTGCACAGTCCTAATATTTAATGCTCAAGAGCTTTATTAGGGAAATATAAAAATGAAAAATGAACTTTTTCCCCATGTGTTCCACCAAAAATATACCAATTTATATAGTTATGAGCTAAAAATTAACTTTGTTTTACTTCATTTGCTTTGTACGCTTGTCATGCCTGTTGATGTTGGTGACAAATGAGTATTTAAATCCCCTCTGCTTGCCCTTTGTGCAGCTGCAGAATTGGTACTCAAACAATGGATTTAAGCAGATGTCAGTTAATATGTAGTTTAAATGAAATGTGAAACTGGAGACCTTCAGAATGCAGCAGCACGTGCACAGGTCTGTGAGCACTTCCCAGTTCCGGGGCATGTGCTGCTGCTGCTGATCCTGCAGCTTTGCTGGGAAATGCAGTGGAACAGCAAATGTTCTGTAACAGCCCTGTAAGGAGGAATGCAAGTTGCTAGGCCATTTTCCCTGCATTATGCTCTGAAACTGGATACTAACAAGACTTTATATCTGTGACAGAAAACCCAAAACAGGTCCTTGCTCCCTTGCAGGCTTTCCTGCAGAGACTTGCTGTGACAGACATGCAGCAGCTGCAGAGGGCACAGAGTTGTGCTTTTTGTAATGTAGTTGTCTCCTGCCTTTGGAAAGTCATCTCAGATTAGCCTGAGCTAGGGACAAATGCCACTACTTGAAGATTGGTGGGTGCTTCACCTACACTGTTTAGCCCCCCCCCACCTTGCCCCCAGGTTGAGTCTGGTGGTTTTTCACTTTCTGAAATATTTATCTATTCTCCTTAGTGCTGTGTATGTAAGGTTAAGTAGGTAATACATTTACATCTAAGGAAAAAAAAAAAAGTGGCCAGTTAAAAATCCTTTTTTGAAATAGTAGCCAAAAATACATCACTTAATAGCAGTGTTAAAGTCAGAAAAAAGAGTGGATTTGTAACTGAAGAGTCTATCAAAATGCTCATTTTAAAACTTGATTCCATTGATGAAAAAAGACAAGGAATGGATAGATGCCTTTTTCTTTATGCAGTGCTTTAGGTGTAAATTTTAGAAAAGCAAATTTTTCAAAGAAGCCAAGTGTTGGTTTACTATTCATAAGCTGTATCAATATCTTTTAAAATCACTAGTACTGGGAATATTGTAGGAAACAGTAAAGAAATCAGTTGTAGTGTCCTGCTTGATTACAAAAGAAGCCTGAGATAACCAAAGGATTAAGATAATGTGTTCTGCGAGGAGTAGGAGCAGTGTAAATGATGCAGCAGACTCCATCATGGTTATTGAGGAACTTCGGCATATTTTTACCCTCTGTCAGTTCCAAATTTTGTGCATCTGTAGAAATGCAATGCCAAAAATGAAGAAAGTTAGAACTCTGTGGGCTTTCATTGTTGTTTTTTAAACTCCCTTAAAATGTTAGGGTAAAATCTGGCTTGGTTTCGAATTAGTTTAAAATTGCCCCTTGTGAATAAACACAGGCTGTGACAGCCTTGGCCATAGTTAACCAGGTCTCTCACATGTTCCTAAGAGCAGTTCCCCAGTGTGTGGTACTGGAGCACGTGGGGCCAGGTCTGTGGCTGACCTGCTCTCTCTGGGCAGGCAGCTGTGTTTGAGTGAATCAGTGCAGAGTCTGTAGATCCATAGGTTGTTACTCTGGGCTCTGTCAGTGGTGATGATGACGATACCGTTTCTTTAGAAGTAGATTCAAGTCAGTTAAGACGCCAGCTATGTGGTGGCAGCCAAGCAGCCATTGAAAGGATGATCCATTTTGGAAGAGAATTGCAAGCAATGAGCGAGCAGCTAAGAAGAGAATGTGGCAAAAACACAGTGAATAAGAAAATGCTCAAGGTATGCTTAATCTTCATGTAAAGGTGAATAACTGTTCTGCCCAGCAGGAACTTCCCACAGCATGTTGTGCTGGAATACTGTTCTGCTTTAACTTCTGCCATTTTACACATGTATCAGAGCAGATGCTCTGGTCAGCTTGGTATAGCACTGTCTTCTGTCTGTGTAGCACATGCTCAGGAAAGATACTTTTGTGCTTTTACAGTCAAACACAGAAATTAATTTAGCACTTTTCTTTCTCTCATTTGTGACCATCTAACTTGGCCTCTTGAATTTCTGGTTTTGTCTTTTTGATCTTCTGTCAGTGATAAATGAACCGCAAGGAAATCGGTAGAGATGCCCAAAATGTGCTGTCAGTAGTACTCTGCATGTGGATTAGTTTGCCTTGATTTGACTGCTCTGGAAAAGAATTCTCCTGCCAAAGACTGCATGCAGTTTTCAGTCTGTTTTGTCTTACCCCATCGCTTAGTAAAATAATGCTACCTTTTGCCTTGCACTTGGGAAAAAACACTAAATGGAACAAGTTCTGTCACAATTTCTTTTTCTCTTTTTGTACTGATGGACACTGACAGTGACCTTTGTGATTCTGAATCAAATTACTTGAACAAAATACCCCTTCTTTTCACTAGTAGCTTGTAGCTGTAGATGTAATAAAAGTCACCTTCCCACAGGATGCATTCAGTTTGCTTGCATATTCTGATCCTTGGAGCAGCCCTGTCGGAAATCAGCTTGACCCCATACAAAGAGAACCAGTGTGCTCCGTGCTGAATAGTGCAATACTAGGTAAGTGTGGCCTGCTGGCTGCCCAAGGGACTCAGGGTGGCTCGCCTGTGTCCCACACAGGTGGCCCTGCTGCTCCATTGTAATGATAGCAGTGTTTGATACACTCTTCTGGAAAGAGAGGGATAGTTTTGGAGGGTATGTAAAATAACAGGTACTTGTCTGCTGTTATAGTTCAGAGTAAAATCACCTGTTCAATAATGATGCTGTGCAAGGTCACTTCATTGCTCCTGCTTTGTAAGATGTCTTGCTCAAAGAGCAAACTCGCAAATGAATGATTTAAGTAGTTTAAATTTCAAGTTTTCAGTGTATTTTTATGAAATGATTCAGGTATTGTAACTACCAATGTGATTCTTTTTCAGAGACTCACAATCTGCCAAAGCAACCCCCGCTTGCCCTCGCCATGGGACAGGCGTCACAGTGTCTAGGATTGATGGCCCGGTCAGGAATTGGATCCTGCGCGTTTGCCACAGTGGAAGATTACCTACACTAGCTATGCATTTTGAAGGTCTGAAAGGTGTTGTGGCATATTCAACATGGAAAGTAGACCAGCTCTGCTGACTGGAATTTGGAATTTTAATTATGTACTAAGGACAAGTCTGTCGCTTTATGTTGCTTCCTAGTTTACAGCATGATGCAAATGATTTCTAACTTAGTGTTAGGAGATTTCCATCTTTTAAACCTCTTAGTCAACTAAGAGTTGAAAATATTACTGGTATCGTCAGACATCCAAATTGACAAGTACCAATCCTTTGAACGATTGTCCAAAACAAACCAAAAATCCTGCTACCTTGTGGTGGGACGGAAGAATAGAAAACATGGATGTATTAGCATGTGGGTGATGTAAACGTCAAGCAGGATGACTTGCCAACCTCCACCCCCATTGTTACATAGTTCAATCAGTGTAATTTGCAAAATGCAAATGGTTTGGATATAGTGTTGATGGGAAGAAATGATATTTTTTAATGTGTACTGTAAAACTTGAATTACTCAGGAGCTGAGTGAATATGTTTGTTGCTACTTACAATCCCAACCTGTTGATCTTAGTAGTTTTTTGTTTTAACATGGTCTTTTCAACTTTGTTTCCTTGTTTAACTACAGACAGCTTCTGTTGTGTAGGCTCACCAGTTTAACTGTTGTATTATAACAGTATTACATGTCAACACAGTTGTGGTTATGACCTATTTATATAAAAACCAAATATTTAGTCAATTTACAGTCTTAATTTAATCTTTGTACACCTTGCATTTTTAAAAGTGCTTAAATAGTACTATATTGCAATAAAATGTAGTGATATCATAATTAACCAGCCATTAAAAACTTACGTCTACATCCACAGTAGCATGGACATACGTGTATGCTACATTGTCTTGTTCTAGGGCTCCATCCTAGAACAGTGGTTCTTGAGACCTGTGAGGAGAGTGGCTCACCCCTTGAGCTGGGGCTGCCACTTCCCCATGGAAGCTGGGCTGGTCCAAGTGAAAGGCTTTGCCATGTTCTTGCCACACAGTGAGTTTAGCTAACGGTTCAGGAAGCTTACTCAGGACTCCTGCAGATGGGGAAAATCCCTTACTGCTGGGAAAGTAATCATGAGGCTGGAGAGACGTGTCCTGCTGTGGGAGCCAATTTAATGATTCTGCTGTTACAGACACAAGTCACTGAAGCAGCAGGAATAACTGCCTGGTATAAGGAATGCAGCATCCACAATAGTAGGTACAACACTGCTCACTTTATTCTCTGCAAAGGCATTGCCTCACGGAGGCAGCTCAGCAAGCCTGGAACTAGCAGCAGCTGTTCTACAACACTGGCCTGGCTGCTCTGTGGCTTCCCCAAGAACTTCTGAAAGGGAGAGAACAGGGAAGTTGATCAGGCACAGCTTGGTGCCTTCTGCTGGCTGCAGCTGAAAGCAAAGTGATGGTGAATGGGGAAAAACACCTCTGTTGGGTTGAGAGAACTGCCACTGAAAGTCCTTAGCAGCATCTTCTGAAAAAGCTGTCATAGTCCATTTTTAATCTGTGATGCCAGCCAACGTTTCTTAAACCTTGTTGCTTTTTCCTTTTTATCTTGCCCTTAAAAAAAAAAAAAAAAAAAAAGCTGTTACCATTTTTCTTAGCCTATGTGCTCGAGAACCAGCAATCCCTTAGCTGTTGCAGCAGCAAAACAGAACAAAACAGCCTCCTCAAACACTGATAAATTTCCTAAGGTATTTTACGTGCCCCAGGTGCGTTCCACTGGCCAGGAGTACCAGTTTGCACCAGCCTCCTTAGGAGGGTGTGAGGGTGTACAGTGGTGCTTTCAGTGATGGAGCACAGATGGAAAGCAGGCCCTGCTTGCTAAGGATCAATAACTTTTCCTTCTGGTGTTCCTGAGCCTCACAGACTGTGTGGGTGTGCAACTGTCCCCATACATTATGGAAATGAGGGGGAATGAATGCTATTTCCCTGTACTCATACAGAAGTTCTGGGATCTTGGCATCCCTGTTTTTAAGTCTGAGATGTATTTGAAATGCCTTCCAACAGCTCAGGGACTGGAGGCTGAAACAACAGCTACTGAAGTACTTACTTCACTGAGCAGCCCTTGCTCTAGGACAAGAGCTGTCTCTTAACATACAAAAAATGAGGTATTTTTTTTTTTTCAACTTGCATCTCATACACCATCCCTGGGGTTGTGCTCATGACACCCACTGAGGCTGCAGTGCTCTGCTGCCCTTCCCTTACTCTCCAGGTGCTTGGAGTTAAGAGGATCACAAGCCAGGATGCTCTAGCATGGAAACTCTGATTTTATTTAAGTGTACTATTAGCCACATATGCAGAAAATAGTACCTACTCTGACTTTCTATACTCACCCCAAGACTTGTCCACAAACTGAACTGCAGCTTTTTTGACTGAGGCTCTCTTGTTGGCAAGGGAAAAAAATTCATTTGCTGAAATGGAGACAGGTGTTAATAACCAAGTTCAAGCCAGACAAGGCTGCATCCAGACCCACCCAAGCAGCAGCGCTTACCCTGTACCCGGTTGGTGTGTGGCCCATAGAGCTGAGCATTTAGGAAGTCTTTGGCCAGCTGCTGGTGGAGGCCTGTTACACTGTGGTCTTTCAAGCACACAGCCACGTAGTTGCCTTTTGTCCTAGTCAAAGAGAGATGCAAATCCCTGTAGCCTGGTTACAGGATCCAGAACAACAGACACTACTGTCAAGCTTTGCTACTTGAGCACAGCAGCAGCCAGTGATGGTTTCTGATACTCAGATGAGCTTTGTGGCAGTATTAAAAAAATAAAAAGCTGGACCAATACTCTCAAGCTGTTGTCATATGCCTTTGTGTGCCCTGAGTAGTTTCCTTGGGTGCCCTGAGCTCATCCGACCAGAAGCTAGAGCAAGTACTCTCTAGGGCCATCCGTGACAAAGAAATAAAGAGGAGAGAGAAAAATAGACTGAAATGCAGGAATTTGGTGCTCAACCACCCCACCTGTAGCAGCACACAACACAATGTCTACTGCTGTGCTTACAACTGCCCAGCTACCTCACAGCAGTTACATACATGTAAAAATTATTTATACCATATATATACGTGTATGTATGCTAAACCAGATAATTAAAGGTGCTTTTTGCACATAAATACACATTCAGTCAGATGAAGGACAGAGGAACATGAAGTGCAGAAGAGGGTACAGCCATGCAGTGACAGAACAGCTGCTGTGATGCCCCTTCCCACACCAGGCAAAATCATCTCCTCCTACCTGGCACCCTTGCTCCTCTTGCCTTTCTTCTTCTGCACTTTGGCCTGGCCTTGCTCCAGCTGTACAGCCCCAGCTTCAAGTTCTTCACCTAGAGTAATTTGCAAACAAAATTTCCCAAATGTTACCAATCAATCAAAACCAGTCAGTGAAACAGGAACAGGACTTAAATCAAGCAGCATTTTTCAGAAGCACCAGGAAGAACAGCTGTAAGAGGGAGGGAAAGAAATACGCTCAGTGGAACAAAGTACTGCTAGCCAGCTTTCCTTGGCATCAACAAAATGGGATTAATCACTGGACAAAAAAATCAATGCAACATAGCAGCTATGGGTAACCCATAAAGGGAAATCCAGCTCTGGCTTTAGTCTTGCTTCATTCTCAGCCCATCTCTTTGTTATGTCAACACAACAGATCCTTTTTAAATAAAAGCAAGAAAAAGTAGCAGTTACACCATACAGCAACTTATGAGGTTTGGATGAGAGAACTGTTTTAACAAAGTATTTTTTCTGAAGTACTTTGTTTGAAGTATAGATGAAGCAAAACCAGCACACACTCTAGACTCTTGATTTTGTAATTCTGAGTTTGAAAAAAGTTACTTAGTATTCTAAGAATGCTATTAAACTTTAGTTTGATATGTAAAGTATAGAGGAAAGTTAACAATGCTACCCAGGAATAGCTTTTATTACTTAAAAAAAAGGCAAAATATTAATCCACCTTTGGGAATCCTTGCTTCTTCTGATGTAACACCTGCCTGTGATTTCCTTAAACACTTCAGGTTATTTAACTGAAGTTACTGCACAGTAAGTGACTTCTGTAAAAGGTTTAAGAATTAGATTGAATCTTTGTATTTTTCCTCAGATATTTATTTTCCTCGGGAAAAGACAATCTGTCCGGTGCATTCATGTTTAAGACCTCGAGAAGCTCTCTTCACCAGAGCTCCCCTTGGAGCTCTGGGACAGGAATGAGCTCCTGAAGTGTAAGATGTGCCTCATTAGCAAAGGGAGCTGTAACGTACCTGGGTCATCTGCCGCAGCCTGCTCAGCGGGCCTGGGGAGCAAAGGGAAGACAACGGGTTACTCATCAATTCACACTCCCCGCCTTCGCTCAAAGCCACAAAACCCCCATTTCCAGTCCAGCCTCCCAAGCCAGGACCAGAAGGGGCTGCCCCATGGGTGGGAGATACGGAGAGGGGGATCCTAACACCCACCCCCGCTTCCCCTGGTCCCCTCACCGTGTGGACACATCCTGCAGCTCCTGTAGCTCTTGCAGTTCCTGCAGCTCCTGCAGCACGGCCTCGGGCAGCAGCCTGTGCTTCTGTGGGGGACAGGGGAGTCAGGCGGGCTCGGACACGGCCGGCACACCCCCCGGGGCCGGCCGGAGCCCGGCGAGGGAGCGCGGTACCTTCTGCTCCGCGAACAGCTCCTGGTGCCGCCGCCGCTTCTCCTTCAGCAGCTCCCGGTGCCTGCGGGGAGGCGGGAGCCACCGTCAGCATTCCATGGGGAAACAGGGGAGATTACGGGCGGGGGTAAAGGGGGTGAACCAGGGCTTGGAGGGGCAGAGGCAGTGAGGAGGGGAAGGAGTTACGGGCGGGATAAGGAGGGAGAAGGGGCGGAGAAGGCATAAGAAGAGTGGTGAGGTAAGAAGGGAAACAAGGGGGAAAAAAGGAGGCTAACAAGGGGAAATAAGCAGGGAAAAGGGGAGGATAAGAGGGGGCAAGAAGCGTGAACGGGAATAAAAAGGTAACTAGGAGGGTAAGAGAGATGGAGGGGAGTTTAGAGATGTAAGCGAGGAGTTAAAGGGGCGGTAAGAAGAGTGAAAGGGGAGATGAGTGGGGCTAAGCGAAGGGGGGAAGAGGAGGGAAGCGCTGGTGTGAAAGCCGCCGTTCAGGAGCAGGAGGCCCCGGCGTGTCCGCACCTCCGGGCCGCCTCCCCCACGAGCTTCCGCTCGGCCGCGGCCGCCTCTCTGGCCACGCCGAAGGGCACCTCCTCCGGGGCCTCGTCCTCCGAGGAGGAGGCCGGGCTGGGGAGCGCGGCGGGAGCCCTGCGCTGGCCCGCGGCCGCCGCCTTCGCTCTCCGCCGGCGCACCATGGCCGCCGCCGCGCCGCCCGCCCCGGAACCGCTCCCGCCTTCCGCCGGGGAACCGAGACGCGCGTCCTGCCTCCCGCCCCGCCCCGCGGGATGCGGCACAGACACAGCACACCCGGGTGGCCCCGCCGCGCCTTTATTGCCCGGCTCCGGCCCTGCGCCCCGCCCTGCGCCCCGCCGGCCCAGGCCGCCCCGGAGGTGATCCCAGGGCTCAGGAGGTGATCCAGGGCTCAGGAGGTGATCCCAGGGCTCAGGAGATGATCTCCGTCTCGTGTCGCGCCAGCGCCGGCGGCAGCGTGGTCCCGCAGGGGCCCGGGAAGTGGAACCTGGAAGGAAGCGGCAGGTTTAGGGCATCCCTCTGCTTTACCTGGCGAGTCTGGCAGAGAGACGGGAGAGAGGGAGGAAAGAGGAGGAGGAGGTTGGGAGAGGGGTCTAGGCCTTGTGGGGCGTAGGGACAGACTTCAACCTCGCCCTTTAAACAATACGGTTCGTGTCTTCAGTGACAATTCCACCATGGAAGAAGAATCCTCTTTTCTTCCTTATTAACAGAAACTTACTATTTCGTAACCGCTGGGGGGGGTAACTACTTGACTGGACCAAAGCAGGGCAGAAAGGCGGGACTGAAGGCTGTGGCCTGAGCAGCGTTACCTGAACCTGTTGGTGGCAGGAGTGGGTTCCGTGTTGAACTCCGCGACTGGGACTCCTCTGGCCGAGACCTGCGGGGCGAACATGGCCGCAGGATACACCACGGACGAGGTCCCGACCTGCGGGCAACGGGACACAAGTCACAGGCGCAGCAGGACAGCACTCACACAGAACAAAGCAACCCAGCCCCGGGGTGAGGGCCCTTCTCACAACTCCAAGTGCCCTGAATACACAGTGAATACAATACTGAAGCCTGGGAGATCCCTACAGAAATGAAACCAAATCAGTATCTGATGAGTGTCACTGCAGATGTAGCTATTTAACTTAGCATAGCAATCAGAAATTGATTCTCTTGATGCAGCCCAAAGAAACCCATTTGTAACTGTAGATGGAAAAAAAAAATCCCAGAAACAAAATGGCACACTGTCTTCAAGGAAAAATAAAAACCCAACAAAATGTTCCTTCTGTTACTTAAGATCATCCTGTAAATGGAAGACAACAGTCTAAGCAAGTGTTTTGGTTAGGGATCTGGAACCTACACAGAATGTAAACCACCCTGCAAAAAAGCAGCACATTGTAACTTCTTTTTCAAACTGAGCATCAAAGTAATTGTATTTTTTACTTTTGAGAAATTAGAACGATAGAATGGCTTGGATTGGAAAAGACCTTAAGGATCCTCTTGTTCCAACTCATCTGCCATGGGCAGGGACACTTTCCACTAGCCCAGGTTGCTTAGAGCTCCATCCAACCTGGCCTTGAACACTTCCAGGGATGGGGCACCCACAGCTTCTCTGGGCAACCTACTCCAGTACCCTTGTCAACTTTGTGGCTCTCCTCTGGATCTGCTCTAACAGTTCCAAGTCCTTATGCTGGGGAACTGTCCACAGTATTCCAGGACTGTCCACAGTATTCCAGGTGGGATCTCACCAGGGCAGAGCAGAGGGGGAGTGAAATTCAACAGCCAAACAACATTGTCTAATGTCTAACCCCTGTGTACCTCTTGACTTCTGAGTAGTCTGTGTACATTTTCAAGCTGAAAGGTCTTTTAATGTTTTGCACTGGACACCAGAGAGTCATTTTGGGGCTTTTAGTTCCCTCAGGGAAGCACAGCTGCGTCTGCTTTACCCAGGAGTTGCCACGTCCTTAGCGTGGTCTCCCTGCCGGTTCAGAGGACAGGTAAGGAAAGAGCCACTCACGACCAAGCAGAGGTCACAAATATCCAGCTCCTTCTCCACCTCCGTGAGCACACCGGGATCCAGGGCTTCACCAAACCACACAACGTGGGGCCGCAGGAGCCCATTGCAGCCATCCTCTTCACACCTGCTCAGACACCACAACGGGACAGCGTCAGGCTGCAGAGCGCCAAAGCAGTTCTCATTCTCGCCTGGGCAGGTCCTACCTGCCATCATCCTCCTTCACAGCCCTCCCTGCACCCTCCTCTACCATGTGCTGGACAGAAGACAGCTCATTCCATGCTACACATGTGCTGGAAGTACACATGTGCTGCATGATCCCAAGGAAGGGGTTGCTAAACAGGTGTTCAGTGCAGATACTTAATTGTGTCTTCCCCTTACTCAGCTCCTAAAATGCATGAAAGTTAACACTTGGCCCCCTTTAACAAACTGGTTGACAGGGTTTTAAGGAGAAAATGAACCAAAAGACAGAAGCATCACGTTAGCCTCTTTTTCCTTAGAAATTGGATAAAAAATGTGTTTTTTTCCATCTGCAACTAGCTAAGGCAAAGCTTCAGGCAGCGTAAAAAAGCATTGTGGCTGTGAGGGGAGCCCAGCACAGTATCCCAGACTAACAGTGGGTGGCACCTGCAAAGTAACAAAACATTTATGCTGTAGCACTCATTCTCTTGCTGCAATTCTCCTACTACTTCACTTACAAACCCCAGGAATTTGGGCATGTTTCATCTTGGTGCACAAGTACACAAACATGCGATGCCTTTAGCACCGTGGTAACTTCTACACGGTCCTTGTCTGATGCCCCAGTAACTTTAGACTCAGTTTCCTGGGACAGAGTTCCAGAGTTTTTTGTCTCCTTTGTGGAATGTCCTTCCAAAACAACGTGAATAGTAACATGAAGCTTTGAGATGCACAAAGCATGAAGAGGTAACAGCCCAACAAAGTGGTCCATACATACTGAGGAAGGTCTTCAACTGGAATTGCAGCATCTTCTGTGTCAGGATCTGGAGCCCTGTAGTTACAAAATGCAAGGACATGTCCAGCTGTACAAAAGGTATTTTACGTATTAATAAAAAATTTAACATTCTCTAAAAGCCTTCATAATCTCTAAAGCACACCCTCCAAAGAATCTGCAACTTCAGCCAACTTTAACACCTACTACAATCCTAAAATACCATACACAAGGCAAGCAGGAATTTGTCCAGAATTATCCTGGAGCTGAGCAACTGTAATAAGCTGGCCAAGACTGCCAAAGGCACAACAATTATTTATGTAACTATCTAATGGTCTGGTAAAATGTAAAAGGAAAAAAAATCCTAAAAATTCTTTGTGTATATGCCTGGCCCATCTCCCTGCTCACTTCCTTTTTTAATGGCAAAAGAAAGAATGGATTACCCCTTCCCAGCCAATGCGGGGCAGATCGGGCTCTTGTAATTCGCAGCCACGTTTCCACAGCTGGTGCACCGAGTTTTAAATAAACTACCTGTAACACACAAAGAGGAAACATCAGGGATGAAGCTCTGAGGTGTGGCTGTGCAGGCAAGTGGTTGTGTTTATCCTGGGCAGCTTTTATTTACAAACCTTGAAGGCTGCACCTTGTGGGTAACTTAAAAAAGGAATGCAACAGCAAAGTTCCACTATGTCACCTTGTTCTGCCTCAGGACATGAGTAATACACAGTCCCATAACATATTTTGCAGGAAAATCATAATTTAAAATATCACTGAGGGGGATGATTTCTGTTTATTGGTTTTCCTCTTACATCAGAAACAATTTCTTAAAACAAAATACGCTGGTCAACACCTTTTTTGTTTGATGCGAAACTCCTCTCCCAAAACTTTTGTAGCATTACTAACGTGCCATCAAGATAGGCAATATAGCCAAGAGCTAAAAATTGTGTCCATTTTGTAAGGAATGCAAATAACCAAAATTAAACTGTTGCCAAGGCTTCATCATTGGGTCCACAACTGCAAAACAGCTTGTGCAGGTTTCAGGATTCCTGTGCCCAAAGCATGGAAGTGGTGGTGGGAAACTCCATTTACACCTTTAGTGATACTCGAGTTAAAAAGCATCATAGTGCTGGAGGACCAGGATGGATCTTTGTCCTGGGAGACTTCCACCCTGTGGCAGGGCCTGAGGAGTGGAGAAATGAGTGGAGTCACCTCCAAGGATGGAGAAGAGCTTCCAGACCCTCTTTCTCTCCATACCTGTACATCTCCTCAGATCCCAAACCCCCACTGATGCCCAGGTGCTGCATCTGCATGTGCTCCTCTGGCACTTTGTGGGAGTAAGGAATGCCACTGACTACAGGGAAGAGAAGGGGAGGGCCATTGGCTGCAGGAAAGAAAGGTAAGGGAATCTCAATTGTTTCCAGTCCCTTTGTCCTCCTGTAGCCAAGGACTGCACAAGTGAGGACAGGACAGAGCAGGACAGAGGAGAAGCACCAGGGCTGATGAAGCCAGGCTTCCAATACACCCTTTATTGGTGGCAGTCTGACACCACCACTACCACACAGTGGAATTACTGGGGATTTTTTTCCCCTTTTCTAAGTGAAATCACCCAGGTGTGACAGCCACATGCATTCAAGCAGATCGGTGGAAAACTGTGCAAGCAAAAAGGGAGAACCAGTTCCTGTGTACTGTCAGAATACATTAAAAACAGAAAGATGAGATTCTGTGATCCTAAAGGTAAGGAACAAAGAGAAGATATGAAGTACCTGAAACAACTTCTAGAAGAGAACAGGGTGTTATTGCAAATAACTTTATGCAAGTTATTGTAATTATAAGACAAAATTCTTTTCTCTTTGTATTTATCTCCCTTTCCCTTCTTCCCACTCCCCACCCCAGGTTTCCTGGCCTATGGCAGACATGACCCAACTCTTACCGTGGATTTCTAAGAGCTGCTTGGTGCCTGCCTTCCTGTGCAGCTCATCAATGTTCTGAGTAATGACCACAACACTCCTTCCTTGCTTGCTGAGACGCTTCTCACACTCTGCAATGGCAATGTGGGCTGGATTGGGATGTTTGCTCAGCATCACTTCCCGCCGGTAGTGGTAGAATTCCCACACACGGGAAGGGTTTCGTGCAAAAGCCCCTGGAGTAGCCAGCTCCTGCAAAAGACATAACAGTCGTCCTACAACGAAAGAAGAATCCCTTCCCCAGCTGAAGCCTGCTGGATTTCTGCCATTTATACTGCTGCCTGCATCACAAGGTCATCAAAAGCAGATTACCTATAACCACGTGCAGTTGATAAGAATATTGTCCACAGCCCTTACAAGGGTGACACGTTAAAGTGTCAGACCAAAAGAGCAAATAACTTACAGAAATAGTGTGGTATGTGGGTTTACACTACACTCCAACCATACTCTGTGCTGACCTACCAAACTATTAGGAGCTTAGCACAAAGCAAGATGAGATACTCCAATGCACACCCACAACTCTCTTTTCCACAGCAGCCACAAAACACAGCATCATGTGAATATATTTCCTTTGCTAGGAATTTCTTTTCTGCTTTAATTTAAGTGTTAACACAAGCCAAATTATATCCATTGTCAAAACCAAAGTCTAACATCTTGTATTCTGTATGCAGGTAAAATTGAACCTGCTTTTCACACTAACTTTAATTTTGCCTTCTCTTTCTCAAAAACGAGGTGCAGCTCAGTCCAGTAACTCAGTGCACAATTCTGCTGACACAGAAACTAAATGCACGTTTCTGATGCAGCAGGACCAAACATTTAAACACACACATGCTTTATTTGAATTGATGATCACTTGAAAGCAAAAAACTCATCTTTAGATTCAAACCAGTTTCAAAAATTAATGTCTCTGACACTTTTTTAGCTACATCAGGATCTTTCAGGAATGCTGTAATTAAAAACCACAAAGAAAGCAGGTGTGATTGCAGCATTTGGGGTAGCAGGTAGTGACAGCAGAACAGCTGCTGAAACACCTGCAGCACCAGCAGGATGAGAGTCATGAAGCCCCCACAGAGCTCACATTGTTGGTGCCTTCAGCTGTAGTCCCAGTGCCTGCTCCCACCTCCTCTCCCACCCCTGTGGCTCTCAGTGCTGGCAAGATCATGACAGCAAGAGAGACAGCCTGTGGGAGAATTAAAGAACCTGCCCTAAAATAAAGCAAGTCCTAAAGCATTTTTAAAGGGTGTTCTGAGACACCAAAATTAAAAGAAAACAGCCAGTCTCTTTTGTCAGTTCTTCCTTTGGTATTTTGGTTTGTTTTAAATGCTAAAGAGTTTAAAACAGGAAAGGCCCCACACAGTAGGAAAACAGCGAGGGTATCAAAAGATGAGCAAAAAGCTGAACTGCAGGAAAACAAGGATGGTTTAAAGACCCAGAGCTGCCTGCTAGAATGTTGTTTTTCCCAAGCAGCTGATAAACTGAAGGACAGAAGCAGATCCCCAAGAGCACAGAGAAGAGCTGCAGGGGCAGCTGTAGGGAGAGCTCTGTCCTTGCTGCACTGGATGGGACAATATCCACCCTCTTCCTCCACCTGTTCCTGACCCTCCATGCTCACCTGTGTGACGGACACAGAGGTGGCCCTAGAGGCATGGGCCACCAGTACCTACCTGGGCTTGCCACTTTCTCCAGAAGCCTCCAGCCCCTCTGAAGGTGGGGACACCGCTCTCGGCACTGACCCCGGCTCCGGTGATGATGGCGATGTGCTTGGCTTTGGCAAACACCTCTCGGAAATCAGCCATGTCTGTGCCAGGGCAGGGAAACGAGAAAACAAGGAGCTGTTCAGGCGCTCACACTCTCACCTAAGAGGCCACACTCACACTTCCATACACACCTCCCATGACTTTAATTTTGGAATAACAGTTGGTTCCTGAACTTCTCTATGTTGTAATTTAAAGGGCAGTTTCTGGAGATTCTCAAAATATGTGTCTGAGCAGGCTCAGTAGGGCAGGATGTGCTAAACATTATTATAGTCAATACTGGAAAGGCAGAGTCTTTAATTAAAACCCCACACTAGATGCTACCCCAATAACAACTGTTGGCACCACCACCCAGGAAGAGTTTGCTTCCCAATTGTTACTAAAATCTTGAGATAAAAAAAAATACATTTGTTTTGTTGTTGTTTTTGTTTGTTTTTTTTCTCCATGAAGTATCACCTTCAAAATTAAGGTAATTTGGGGGAATGTGCTTTCTTTTGAGGCATTTTTTCTGTTTTCTAGATTTGCAACTGTAGTTTATATTTTTTAATGTGTTATTCCCACCACTTTCCCCTGCATGGTAGTTTGGGAAAAAGATTGAAAATTTCCTTTGCCTTTTTATGCGAGTCAAGACAAAATTAAAGAGGAACAGGTTAGCTGCAGACAGACAAGAAAAATATATTTTGCAGTTTACCTCAGATATGAATTTTAAAGCAACACAGGTTAGAATCACAAAATAAATGGCTGAGGTGGGAATGGACCTCTGGAGATTGTCTTGTTCAACCCCCTCTCCTTAAGCAGGGTCAGCCAGAGCAGACTGCTCTGGACAGTGTTCTGTGGGGTGGCTTTTGGTATGGACACGGACAGAGACTCCATAACCTTCCTGCACAATTCAATCCATTGTTTGGCCACCTCACAGCAGACAAACACCATGGAGTGTTTTTATGCATTGCCCTGGAGCCATCATTGCCACAAGGGCTCATCACTGGCTTAAGGCCAACGTGGTGCCCACCAGATCCCCAGGGACATTCCTGCCCAGCTGGTCACCCAAGCCTGTCCTGGGTCTATTTCTTCCCAGGGGCAGGACCCTCCGAGTACCAGCCACTCCTCCCAGCTTCATATTATGTGGAAACTTGCCCAGGATACACTCCAATCTATTGTCCAGATCATTAATGAAGGTGTTTAACAACAGTGACCTCAGTATGGATTCCCTATGGTGTCCCATGAGTGGGCAGCCTCCAGCTTTGAGCTGCTCGCCACAACCCTAATCCTCACAATTTACTAGGTGGTCTTTCAGATAGAAATCAAAACTACCCCCTGCCCCCTATACACACAAAAGCCCACCCAAAGACAGGTAAGTTCCTGTAGGGAGAAAGAGCCATTGGAGAGGTCCCAAAGACCCACAGTACAGAGCCCCTGGACTGGGCAGAGAACACTCCTATTCTGATGCCCCACCTGCTGCTGCAAACCAAACCTCACAAGCCCTTGATGTGTAAAGCTCAGGCCAAAAGCCCTCCCAGACAGGTGTCTGGCAGCAGCCAAATCCTGATGCTCAAGGCAGCAGAAAAAGCAAGTTTGCCTTGACCACCTGACATTAGGGAGTAGCTGTTGTACCTGTGTGCAGTTTTCAAGTTAAGGCACATTGTCAAATTGAAAAACAAAACCAAAACACCCCCAAACAGGTGAAAAGAGGTCAGCCTTAACTCCCAGTCTGAACAGGGCTCCTGGGGTTACCCAGCTCCTGAACTGTCACAAATACTCAAGGCCCATTCTTGTACAAAGAAATGAGGAATTAGTTTTATTACTCATTAGCATTATGAAAGGGAAATGCAATTAACCACTGCATACTTATGTGCATAAATTATAAACATTAAAAAGGTGTTTATGTTGTAACCATGATGACTGTAACAGTTTATGGAACTATACAGAATACAGTCGTAGAAAGGTAATTTTACTAGTCTGGGAGACAAATAAAGCAACCTCAACCGTTTTAAACATTTTTAATTAAGCCATGGATTTCACCTAGCACACAACACCTTCTAGCACTTCAAATCCACCTTAAAAAGCTGTCCGGGGTGCTAAAGCAAACAAATACACGCCTTACTTGAACTAGGACGGGCCATTTCCAAGCCAAACTTCTTTGAAGACGAGGCCTTAAGTCCACAACGCACTTGGGGAACCAGCCTTCTAGCGGCAGACTGGAACAGACACATCGGGATCCCTCGGAAGTGTTTCACCTGGGGAGAAATAAATCAAACGTCAGCGGCCCAGGCAGGGTGCGCATTTCTGCCAGCTCCCCGTGAGGGGCTCTCCTTAGAGAACCAGCTGCGAACACGGAATTCCTCCTGCACCTGCAGAACACGGAGCCATCCCCCAGCCCAGACCCTGGGGCCGGGGTCACCGCTTTTGCTCAGAACGGGGCACATCAGCCCCGCTCCACAGCGGGGCTTTCGGCCGACGTTCAACTTACGCCACGCTCCCGAGCTGCGCTGCTAACCCGAGGCGGCTCCCAGGACCCGCCGGCATGGTAAGAGAAAGGGGAAAGGCGAGGGACGGACCCGCGGG